ATGTGCTCCGTGCTTTTACTTCTACCCGAAATTATTTCCAGATTTGACTTTTTTATGAATTGTATGATTTCCTTTGATAACTAGCACTTTATAATGAAGGACTCGTATGCTTTGCTTTGACAACATTATTATTTTGGTTTAGCTTATAGTAGTTAATTTTGTAGCCTATGTTTGATAGTTGATTCATTAATAAGCCCACTAAAAATATAAAATCTTATCATATATTTATTTTAAAAACTCCCTCACATTCACAAATTCTTAGAATGCCACAAGTTTACAACACGATAACAATTAAATTGTGGTGATGAACCAATCATGAGAAGAGTGAATTTGCTAAAAAAAAAATTAAGGCCATAAATTAAATGTTGGAGGCTTTGACGGTTTGGAGGGACATTGCATTAATTCCAGAACCGTTAGTGGATGGCTATTAATGGCTGCAGCAGAGCTCCAGCTTTGCCTCCATCTGTTTGAAAATTCACATGTAGAGATTCAGCATCAGAAATAAACAAACACATAATTCAATATACTGAAACTCTAGCAAGTACATGTTTTCATTTCCACTATAAAGGACACTAAATGCATTTCTGAGCTATGATGAATTGTTTTAACGAACAAAGTGAGTCATAATTTGTTAATTTTCTGAATATTTCAGCATTGGCTACTCTAATACAATGATGCCCGGTGGATTCATGCTGAACACCCCAAGTCCATCTGCTTCAGTTGAAGGTATGCCACAATAAATGTTCACAACAACTATATCTGAGTGATTATTCACCACACACACATTGTATAGGGTCAACGTATAAGTTATTTGATGATGGTAGATAAATCCAAATAAACTAGACAGTCATAATAACTTGTTATATAAATACATTCATTTAACATCTGACCAACTCTTAAAGTAAACAATGCATATACTGTGTATCTAAAGCAGATCAATCTCTACCAACCTGAATTGTGTCCTGTCTTTGTATGAAAACTACTTCCTTGAGAGTTTGCTTGGTTTGGCAATCAACCACAAATCTTTTCTGTTCTGCTGAGCTCTTCAAAGTCTAGTGCTTCACAATTAGCCTACATCTCTGACTCTGCCCCAGGGACAGGCATGTTTTAAAGTGATGAATTGATTCTCCTGCCAGCAGGGTGGCCCATTATTAGTGGTGAATTACAGCATTCATAGTCTACTTAAACCCCCCTTTTTTTAGAACAAAATGGGAGAAAATACCAGACAAGTTCTTGTTTTGCAGACTTTAACAGGCTCATGTGATTTAACAAATCTTAGAGTACTACAATGTTCCTCTTTTTAAAACTCAATAGACAAGAAAATTTAAACAACATTCAGTCATATCCTTATGAATTCTAATGTATCCCAAATTCAGTGACAGTTATCTCACTTAAACGTCAGGATGTATGACATTTTGAAAAAAAATAATAATAATTTCTCTAGTGGTTCTTTGTGCAGTGGTTTATTTATTTGTATCCCAAAACCATTACCAACTTCTTTTAGTTTGCTTTTCCTGTCTTTGGCATTTACAACTCTAGCCAAAATCTCTGGCGTAATGAAATGGGCACTTGTGCTGTGATATGCCCCTGATACTTCTTGAGGTTATTTTTAACGCTGTTCCAATTAAAGAGGCCTATCTGCCCTCAGGCTCAGACTGAATGATA